AATTCCACATTGATATAGAAAATTAGTAATAGCCATTAATGGAGCCTTCTTCATCCTCTCACCAAGTTGTGTTACTTCCTTCCCATTCCATGCTTCTCTTTTGTAAGCAGAATTCTTGAAAATTTTTTTTCCGTATAGTCTTGCAATATCATTTCTTATTTGATACAATGTTAATACCTATTTGTTGATGCTTTTGCAGCTCTTCTGATTACTATACTGATTGAAAAATTTAAGAATGAACAACCAAATAATGTTGAGGCAGATGAGGTAATATATTTGCTTTATAGGCACCAATCTCCAATTATCTTCTTAATATATAATTTATAGAAGTATATGTTTTGGTTATTAACAGAACACAGAAACTTTGCAGCACCATGATTTCAGTGATGAAACAGCAGGGAACGATACCGTAGAAATTGCACCTGCTGGCTCATTAGAGCTTGGCCAACCTTCTTGTCAAACTGGAACTTCGCATATCCCCAATCAACTAAATTCACGAACACAAGTAGTAGAAGAAGAGGTCTGACTATTCCTTATTACTCCATTTTGGACCACTTGCATGTCTGTTTAGTGTGCATTATGAAGGCAAATTTATTTCGTTTATCTCAGTTTCATTCCGATGTACTTGCTTTTATGCATGAGCATGCATTATGGTGCAAGTGTCACGGGTTGAGACTTAAGCTCCGAACCTGCGCGGTTCCGGGACCCGGGCATTCACCCTTCCGGCGTCTCAGATCAGCCTATCTGTCACGGTTCACACCCTTGTGAGGTATTGTCCGCTCTGGCTCCCCTAGTCTCACGGTTTTGTCCTATAAAAGACGCCTCACAAGGTGAAGGTGGTGTGAACCCTTTTATACCCCAGTGATCTTTCTATTATGTTCAATGTGGGATTCAAGACTCATCCTTAGGTCCGTGACATTCTCCCGCACCCAACCTCGTGATGCATTCGTCACGGAGGCTGGCCACCCTGCCTACCTCCCTCGAGGTGCTTGGCGTGGATCGAACGGTTTAGGGGTGGCTCACGGTTCGAGACTTAAGCTCCGAACCCACGCGGCTCCGGGACCCGGGCATTCACCCTTCCGGCGTCCCAGATCAGCCTACCTGTCACGGTTCACACCTTTGTGAGGTATTGTCCGCTCTGGTTCCCCTGACCTCACGGTTTTGTCTTATAAAAGGCGCCTCACAAGGCAAAGGTGGTGTGAACCCTTTTATACCCCAATGACCTTTCTATTATGTTCGATGTGAGATTTATGACTCGTCCTTAAGTCCGTGACACAAGAACTATGTACCAATATCGCATACGTACGTTTAAATCACTGTCGGAACCGCATGTAGAGTGAAGGCATCTATGGACACTCTAAAAAATTAGAAAATAGCAAAATTTGAATAAGAATTTTCGTCTAAATACCTTCAAAACTTTTTCGTAAACACTCTTTCGATGATAAAATTAATAAAGCTATCAGTATTATATATATATATATATATATCATAAGTGGATACCCCAAAAATAAATCGTAGATCCGTCATTGATTTAATTGTTTGGATTTGGTACATATATTCAGCATCAATCTCTTTTGGTCAAAATGTGCCAGAAGTCCATATACTTGAGGAAAATTTAAAATTTACTCTGTGCATTATAATTTAAAAAAATTTAATTCTTGTATTATTTTGTTTTAATATTTTTAGTTCAATCATTAATTCTATCAATTTTTTGTCATTAAAAATGTTGATGTGATCGTTGACTTTACTGATGTGATAATTAAAATTAATAAAATTAATTATTAAATTATGTAAATGATTCTTTTATTCATACGAAACTTGAAATTTAATTTTTATATTTGTATGAAATTTGAAATTTAGTTATTACACTTACGAAATTTAAAATTTAATCTTTCTAGTACAAAAAAATTTTAAATTTTTTTAAAATTTTTAGTTTTTTAAAATATTAAATTTTAAAAATGACCACAATATTATCTTATAATATTCTATCATAATATTGAAAATTCTATTATAATATTTTTGTCATAATTTTCATATATTATCACTAAATTTATCATAGTTTTGGTCATCCATGTAAAATACTATTACTAGTTCTGTCACTATTTTATATTATATTCCTTCATAAAATATAAATATGTTACTAATTTAATTGTTACACTTTTTTATTATAATTGTAGTACATTGTGGTCATATGAAAAAAATCTAATATCAATTTATTAAAAATCTATGATAAATTTTTTAATATATAATACAAATATGTTACTATTTAATTTTAATAAACTATTATTTTTTATTAATTTATTAAATAAATTATAATTATAATTATATTTCATAAAAGTAAAATTATCCATCAAATAGTGTTTTTATTCATTTAAATTAAACCTATATAAACAATTTTTTATAATCAAATCCAGGTTAAATATTCTAAATAAATTAAAGTAATTTACTAAATTAATTAAATAATATTAACTTTGATATATTAATTTACATTATTAATATTATAATTGATTAATATAAATGATAATAGTATTATTATTAATATGATATTATTAATAATTATTATATATTATAAAAACTAATATATTTCAAAAAAATATTTTTATATTATAAGAACTAAAATACTTTTAAAATTTAAAATTTTAAAAAAACTAAAAATATTTAAAATATTTTTTATATTAGAAAGATTAAATTTCAAATCTCATGCAAATATATAGATTAAATTTCAAATTTCGTATAAGAATTAAATTTTAAATTTCAAATTTCGTATAAGTTTAGCAACCATTTACATAATTTAACAACTAATTTCATCAATTTAAATTGATACGTCAACAAATTAATACCATATCAGTAAAATCAACAATCACGTCAATATTTTTAATGACAAAAAATTGACAAAGTTAATAATTAAACTAAAATTATCAAATTAAAATATAAAAACTAAATTTTTATAAATTATAGTGCATAGACTAAATTTAAAATTTTTCTAAAGCACAAAAACCTTTAACATATTTTCACCATCTCTTTTAATTAAGCCATAAACTTGCAAATATATTGTGCTGTAATGCTGGCTGTAACACAAGATCTATCCAAAGCAATTTACTCAGGATTGATATAATTATTAAGGATTTATACATTGTCAGTATTAATGCACTGTAAAGTACCAGACCATTAGTAATAAATTTAAAATTTTAGAACTTTAAAAATAAATATTTTTAAAATTTAAATATTTAATTATTTTAAAATAAATTAATTATGTAACAACTTATGATATATTGATTGCGTATAAAATATTAATAATACATTAAATATAAATTCAATTATTAATGGCTGAAGTTAAATGGATTTGAAAAAGTTGATGATGATTATATCTTTGACGGTGAAATGGCAGCTGGAGGGCGATCAAATTACAACAGCACAACAGACGGAAATTATACTCTCAAGATTTGTTACAGAAAGAATGTTAATGCAAAATATGGCTGCTGAAGCTGAAACTGAAGCTCAAGTGCAAAACCTCAAAAATGGGTTAAAAGTCTCATGCCTGGTTATCTCAGTTTCTACAACTGGGATTCTTAGTTTCCTCGCTGGATTTCCAAGAAGTAGTCAACCCACCATGACAGGCAAGCTTTTGTTTAAAGCTGGAATTCTCTTAATGTGTGCCTCACTATTTTTTGCTTTAGTCCTAGTCACACTGTCAACGAACAAGACCAAGTCTTATGGCTTAATTCTAACTGTGAGAATTATCATTTGGATTTCCACAGGATTGATGACATTGGCTGTAGTTTTACTTGTCATATTTTACTTATATGGAACATGATAACCTATATTCCCCCAGGCTCACTCTCTTAATATAAAAATATTAATTTGTATACTAAAATAAGAGGGTTGTGATTTGTATAATCGACAACTCAAGGCCTATGTGGCTGTTGTGATCGGAAAAACTTTTAATCGAGAAAATTAACCATATTCTTTTATCCTAATTTTTATCATGTTGCAGCATTTTGTCAAAAAAAAAAAAAGAAATTTAAGTGTTTGGTATTAATGTAATACTTAAAAAATTAAAATGTTCAAAACTATATACATAAAATAATAAAATATCATAAGATATAAGAATATATAATAATTTAATTTCTTTCTGGAACACAATTTTTCACTTGGATGTGCTTCTACTGTGCTGCTTGAAACAGGCTGTAGGCTTTCCAATCTTAATATCAAACGGGGCCTAAGAGGTATCGTTCCTTCTTAATTGTCATGTTAATCATCCAACATAAAGTTTCTAATTAAGGGTATTTATGGACATCAAAATACAAGCAATTTTCATGAAAATTCACTCTTTAAGTTTATTTTACAAAGAATAAAGAATTTTTTATAATCATTAAGGATACTTTAATGGGTAGAATTTCAGATCCTATGTTGAAAATCTAAGGTTAAATCAACTCACATAAGGGATTATGAAGGAATTTACTATATAATTTAACTACTGAGGACGTAGGGTCAAAGGACAGAAAGCTGGTTGATTTTTTTATTTGAATTTTATTTTATAAATAATTAATTCATTAAGTCCAGTAAATTTTTTAAAAAAAATTATTACAAAATATTAATAGAATGATAAATACATTATTAATCACTTAATATTTTTAAAATAATCATTTAACCATTAAAATTTTTTATTTAATCACTAAAATTGAAATATGTTTTTAAAATAATCTCTAATAACATATCAACTCAATTATCAATTATCACATTACATTATCACATCATTTGATATATTATGTGACATTAATAACGTGATATTACAAATTTTTTTAAAAAATTATTATCAAACAACTTACTTGTTATTATCACGTCAATACATTGTTAAAAACTAATAATTGACAAAAAAAAAAAAAATTTACTCAACCTTTAATAACTAAATTAAATATTTTAATAATTTAATAATTATTTTTAAAATTCCATCATAAATAATAATGTAATTTATCATTCATAAAAGTAGATGCCCCTCACCCAAGAAAGCCAACCTGTCACGGCAGATGTCAACTCTTTATAGGTCCAAACATGATACATATTTTATGATTTTTAATGCCTAAATACGAATTGAACAAAATTTTACGAGTACACCACATTGAACTTCTGACAAAAAGAATTGCAAAATAAATAAAAGGGTAAATCATCCTTGCAAAGAACGGTGAGTCATCCACGATCTATGCAAAAATAAAAGGGCAAAACAGTTTAGTTCAGGGCAGGCTTTAAAAGGCTCAGGAGAATTATAGCCTTCATAACAACACCCCATGCCAAAATGCAGAACTGAGATATGAACAGCCTTTCTTTGCTATAAGTGAAAAAAGATTACAAACAATAAATTCGCGGAAGAACAGAAATATCAAATCAAAAGCAACAAATAGTAAAGTTAAATTCACCATTCTAGCTGAGAAGGCAACACTAACACACCTCCCTGCAAGCTACAAGCAACATCTGCATGCCTTCAATCAGTGTCTGCTACATTGCCCGGTGACTATTCAGACAGAGACCAAGACATGATCCATCCCACCTCCTTAAAAAATAATAGTCGGAATGCGGGAAATCTTCCGATCAGACCCTGTATATACTAATCCAATACATCTCCTTACCAGAAATTTCACAACAGAGCATCAAAATAAGCTCCAATGCAAGGATAGGACCCAAGGAAAATATCCTAGCCCGGTTCTATCATAATACACAGAACCACTTAAATGTTTGGCTAAATAAAGCAGCATATTATTAAAGATAAAAACGCATCAACTAATAAAACTCAAATCTGAAAGGTGCTAAATTGACCTTTACTTTAAATATCATTGGACCTTCACCTGAAACAATTGTGGGTGCTCCATCATAGCCGCGTGAAATAGTTATAGCTAATTGAATTCCTTTCAGCACATGGCATCACTTGCTCCATATTGTACTTCAACGTGGCAGTCTCAAACATGTGTGAATTTAAACTTCTCCAAGGTACCACTTACTTATCATGACTGTCCTACAAGCATAGACCGTTGAGAGAGATCCCATATCAGCTTTTTCTGCTGGTCATTAATGTGAGGTAAACATGCCTGTAAAAGATCAACTGGCATTTCTCTTTTTATAGCTTTGGTGGCATCTGATTCTTCACTTGCCGTATTTGGTTTGACCTGCATACGCAAGGACTGTATCACAGTATCATATTTGTTTATGCAATACTTGGTAAGAAGGTTAAAGAATTCATCAAATGAGGCCTTCCAAAGGGACTGATTGGTCATATTGTAATTGCCAGCAGCTCTTAAATCAATCACGAGTTTTGTTGCCCTATCAAGAACAGACTTCAGAATAAAAGATGCCCCATCTCCAGCAGGACTTCCAAGAGGAGGAAGACGGGGCTGTTCTGAGGAACAAACCACAGCTGCAAGACAGACGCTAAGTGCACGAAGATCCATGCCATGCACGCATGAGGACACAACCCTTGCAAGGTTATTAGTAGTTTCTGCTGCTCCTGGATCAGAGGGAAGGCCTCCAAACAAGAACCTTAAATGACGGAAAATGGCCATGCAGACAACTCGCATAAGCTCAGCACCTGGAAGAAGAAGCTGAAGGTACCTTTCAAGCAGCTTCTGGCCTTTAGGAAGGGAAACTATTTGTAAAAACACAAGATCATCTTTTTGAGCAAGCTCATCTGTGTGGCCATTCTTGCCAAGTGGGTCAACCAATTGAAGTGATGCAGCCAGCCCTTCCAATAAAACCTGTCGTCTTTGTCTTAGCTGTGCTCCACCATCCTGCAACTGATTAAACTGTAAAAACCGATCAATATCATCTACATCAAGTAGAAGGCATAGACCATCCTCTATTGCAACTCTAGCAGCAAGCATTGGTTCTTGTTCCAGGGGCATATCAGAAGCTTTCTGATCATTCTTGATAACAGCTGATGAATTTGGAGGGTCAACTTCAAGAAGAGGACGAGGCCTGCGAACTGAAGAGAAAGGAACCCTCCCAAGAGCATCAACCTGGAGAAAAGCATGTGGCTCAGTATTTGCATGTGCTCGAGGAGGAAGATCCCTAAGATGAGTTGGGCAGAAATGATGTCTCAACTTTGTCCCAGCAGATTTTCTTGCAAGACAAGCCTGGTGGTAATAATCATCCACATAAGGGTCATTACTGTGAGTTGCAGCATGCTGCATTCTAAGAATGCCCTCAATCTCATCGGTTGACATGTATTTGGACCTAAATTGAGGCCATCCAATATCACTCTTCAGTCCACTGCTATCAAAGCCCTGCTGAGAAATTCGTGGATTCTGCCTCTCTTTCTGAGCTGATTTTGGTCTTTGATCTCTCAGATCACCAATACCAAGTATAGCTTCAAAATTGTTCATTAGAGGTGGAGACGGAGAAAGATGAGGATTATATAATTGTGACTGAAACCCTGACAAATGGTTAAACGATGGCTGAACAGGATGCTGCAGTCTTTTCTGGGGTGCCTGCAGCTGTGGCATTAATTGTGGCGGAATCAAACCATTTTGATGAGATAACTGTTGTTGCAACATATTGTTCAAAACACTGGAATTATCTCCAGCATATAATTTTGGCTGGCTCCCCCATTGATTTGATGGTCGACTAATGACAGACAGACCAGGAGCGAACTGAGGCATGTTCCCACCATAATGTGACCCATGATGTAAACTTGGCTTTTGAAGCTGAGACTTAGAGAAGGCAGAGAAATTGGGCGAAGATGTCATCTGTGATCCACCAACCACATATGGAATATTCAAGTGACCAGAATGTTGGGTTGGTGAAGCTTGAGGAGATCTGCCACTGAGTAGAGGGTATGAAGTGTGAAATGATTTTGGAACTAGAATTGGCTCACTAGAGAAATGTTGATGTTGTTGGTGTGTTGTTGTTGTTGTTGTTGTTGCTGCTGCTGCTCAGGATATGATGACGTCCTGTAGAGATGCTTTGAGTCCAAATTGGGTGATGGTTGTGATGACCAGCGTTTGCCTGTGGGAATACTTTCAGTTTCAAGAGCCTGCTGATCAAGCCAGTAAGGAAATTCCTGCCCATGTGCCCATTCAGCAATAGATGAACCTTGAAGGAGAACTCCATGGTCAGCATAATGAAAATAAAAATGTCAATATAAATATTGCACAACCTGTGTTGTTGTCACCTTCACTCTGATGATGTAGGGTCCTTGTGCTTAGATATTTATTTAAAACAATAAATAAAAAAAATGGGTAATACAGTTCATGCACAACTTTCTGTTAAAAATGGTCATGCAGGAAACCTTGCACTAGTGTCAGATGCTGAATATTAATTAATTATGATAATGTCATCATGGAACACATTAGGCAATGGAATGGAGCAAACTCTTTAGCATTTAGTAATACATATATATATATATATATATATATATATTGTAAGCTTATCAGATGCAATAAAAAAAATTCTTCATCTTATACGTTGTCTCTGTCTTTGTGTGGGAATTGGTGCCTTCACTCTGATAAAAATTTTAAGCTTATTTGATGCACTCCTTGCACATCTGGCATCTCATTGCCTCAACCCAATCACATTAAAATAAAACTAAACTAGAAAAATAGAAAGCGTAGAAAATTTTGAGAAGGTTAATGCCGCATAGACCATAACAATTACATTATTATAAGAGGCTTCATAAACAACTGTGAGAACAACAATAATTGAATCCAACAACATTTTAACTAATTAGTACTACGAATATCATGTCTCATGAATGTTACCCCTTAACCACCAACTCCCAATTGAAAAGGGAATTCCATCCCAGATTTTTAGTACAACCATAGATTGCCTTCATCATCTTCTATTGGAAACTATATTCTTCAATTTGTCAGAAGGAAGTGTGTCCACCGCACCTAAGCATTTATATGCAACAACTGTATAGGAGTCTTATCAAGTGTTACTAGTAATGACCTTCCACCAAATAACTCAATCATAATCCTGATACAACTAACTCATATTTTATTATTTCTTTTTTTCTAGCTATGAAATCACTAATGGACAAAAACACTCTTAAAACAGTTAACTGAATTTAATTCTTGATATATATATATATATATATATATATATATTCCACTTGATCCCAGGATATTTTATTTCCTTATTCAGATCACTTGACAGTTTTCTGAACTTGAACATAATTTTCCATTAAATGCATTGGAACCATACAGCTACACTCCACACTTCAAACAGGCAAAAGGATGCTTATATCAAAGTTCAACAATCAGCATTGATGCTAAATAGAACATATCATAAGCTTCTACAAGAAACAAATCCCAAAATGATTGGACCTCAACAGCATCAATCATCACCAATTGACTGATAGATGAAAGTAATGAGATAAATAAACTCACTTTCTTGGGATCCCCTATCACCAATTATCCCCGAGCCTCTTGGTCCACTAACAGCTGTGTTCAACTGCAACAAGATGACTAGCTACCATCAGCAAACACTCAATCACCAATGCTAAACCAGAGCTAACCGCCAAGAAACATGCATCTCCAGTACATGCCTGGTGAATTATGATTTTAAGAAATATTAAGGAAAAAAGGTAGGAACTTTATCCTTTATGGCTTTTTTATAGCCCAAAGATTTGATCTAGGCACTAAAAAACAAGAAGATATAATTTAAAAGGAAATTATCTTTTCTGATGAATTATATGAAAATTAAGCCAAATATCAAGCAAAGTTAAGGTTCAATCTAAAAGTAACTTAATACAAGTGCCCTTAATTGACAGAGCTACAATAAAGGTTTGGGGGATCAATCTTCTTAGAGCACTGTCAGAAAAGTTTGGAAAGGGCTTGGTAAAACATTTCTTGTGTATCTTAAGAGACCAGACAGATAATCGCTCAAAAGTAAGGGATTCGTTTGGTGAGATAATGAGATTTCATCCCACTAATTCACTCAGTATTGGAATAAGGTCTACAGCTAACAGTAAATGTGGTTCCAGGGGCATTTGCACCAACTTCTGCATGACTGAACTCTCCGCAGATCCACTTTTAGAATAGTTGCAAGGATTAAATTGTTTTAGGCCCATGAAAATATGAGATGAAAATGAATTAGTTAAAATTAGAAGCTAATCCTTAGGAGGGGAAAAGATCTTTGATTATCTCACTAGTTGCAAAATACAGTAATTATGGAGTGGACTAACCTTTGAAAATGTACTAGCAAGATCATCAATGTCTGATAAGGATCTCAAAACTTCACCCTGCACATATGAAGAGAAATTAGATGAAGCACCTAGCACATGAATATTCTACTAAAATCAACTATGAAATGAATAATCTTGAAGATTAGTTAGTCTGATGTGCCAAAAGAAACACCTAGTGTGATGAAAATTCTTGATTAAAACATGAAATTTTAACCATATTAGCAACCATTTGAAGTTCACAATTACACCAAGAGAAAGAGGGGAAGGGATTGATTTCCTCTCTTTTTGGATTTCCATTTGCTAGTGACACATGTCTCATCAGACTTTAGCTACTCCAACAGAAATAGAACATGCTAAAAAGTTTATTAGAAAACAATTCAAAATTGATTCAAACAAATTTCCACAATTAACTCCATTAATTTATCTGTAAACCACATCTCCTTCCAGAGACATATGAGAAGACTAAATTTTTGACACCCATAATTAATCTAACTTTTAAAATCCATTGGCATAACCAGTCAAATTTGTGTGAATATCAGAGACAGATTCATTTTCTAAAAAGATATACAGAAGCAACACCTCAAAAGAAAGCCACTAGTGAATAAAACTGCCTCAAGACTCAACAACCAAAGAAACTGAAATGAGGGGGAGAAACCACCCCAGGCAAAAGGGCAGTCTTCTGTATCGAGAAATTGGGAATGAGTTGTCACCTAAAACTTTTGCATGAAGGGTATAAAGTACCCCATAAACTTGATTCCATCGCGAAGGCTTCGTACACCACTAGAAGTTGTAAACTCAAAAATCCTTATCACTCTGAGGAAAGAGGTGTTATGGAAAGAATTTGAGTGTGAAGGAAGGTGTAAGGGAACTCATCCAATTCCAGTTCTTTCCTCAATAAAAGGAAAAGATAAATCAAGACACATGATAAATACTTGGAAAAAAAAAACTCCATAAACTACCTTCCCAATATACTTGCTTCAGGAAGCATATGCGAAACAACAAACCTTCAAGAAGCACCAAAGAACAAGTAACACAATCCCCAAAATATATTCAAATGTGGAATACAAATTTATTGACAGGATACTATGCCACTGGACCACTGCACAAGAGCTTATACAATATAATTTTCTTAAAGAAGGTATACAAGAGCTACATATCATTGTGAATACCAAAACACAAAAACATCCCAAACACGATGGCTATGATATCAACTTATAAATATAGAGAACGAGGTTTACAGTGTCTTGCATGGGCAAATAGAATAATATATAATATGAGCTCCCACAGAGTTTTACTCCATAAAAAAAATAGGATGAAAAACACTACTTAAATGCGGTGGCATCTATCTGTTCAAGAAAACAGGGGGAAAAAGCATCCAGCATTACTCCATAAGGCTATTTTTAAGCATGATGTTTGGAAAAGAGTGATTTATTTTTTCAACGAATAGTCATTGCTTTTGTCCTACACTGTATAAATTTGCAAGAACAATTGAAACAAGAAAAACAAAACTGAAAAGAAACAAGAATATTAACTTCCTCTCGATCAAACAAAAACTCCTCCTCATCAAGTCCAACTGTGGGTAAATCCTCCTCCTCCTCCTCCTCATCATCATCATCATCATCTAATCCCCCCAATTCAACTTCCTCAAGAAAATCTTTTCCAAAAAATGCATATTGTGACGCATCAAATACTGCACATCCTGCATCATAGAAAAGTTAATTTTACTAAAAATGCACTCTTCAACAAAAAAAAAAAAAAACTCACAACATAAGGAAAAGATCATACCACTAAAACTCAGTAGCAATGCATGTTCAGGAAAAACAAATTGAAACATGAAAGACAACTGAAACATACATTAATCCAGCCTTTTCATCAGAAAACAAAGTACATACGCAATTATGCAAAAAAAAAAAAAAAAACAAGGGTTCTTCCTTTTTTCTTTAGCTATCAAGTGACTATCTAATCCACCATGTGCTGCCACAACAGCCACTTGTACTGTATAACCAAGGGGATACCACAATAGTTACATCTTGAGACTGCAACTTGGAAGTCTCAAGTTTAATCCTTGGCAATGGGCATGGGATGGGGTAATGTAGATGGGAGCAAGTTGACACCCTTTGTGAAGCAAAAGCCCGGTATGTCTCAATATATACCAATACCATTTTCTCCAATCCGACCATAATTCAAATAAATTGTGACTATTTCAATCACTAAAAAAATTTGAAATCAAATTCAACACAACCGAAACAAAAGCACATTTAAACCATTAAGCTGAAATGTGTTAGCACCCAAATTCAAACTTTATAATTCCAATACTGGAAAATTCCCATAACACTACGAAATGAAGAAACAATCCAAAACTAGAAATTGTTCACATCTCAAAACAACGACATTTGACTTGGAACTGAATCAAATAGTATTATTCACAATTTCTTTTGCAACAAAACCCAAACCTTAGAATCGAAAACTCAATATTTCTGGATCTAATTTTCATTTTCTTGTAATTTGTTACGCATTTGACTCCACAATCAACTTAACACTAACTTCTTGACCATAAACAATTAAATGTTTACTCAATCTAAAATTTAAGCTTAAATCAAACTACAAAGACAAACCCAAAGCTAATTTTACGCCAAAAAAGAATAAATTGAGGAAATTGAAGCAAAAAGAATCGAACATCAAACCTGTAGACGCATCGCCAAATTGTTTAAGATCCTCAGAAGCATCCATTTTATCTACACTTCAAAATTACCACTCAATATCGAAAAGCCGGAACAAAAACCCTAATAATTAACTGACTCTTCAATCTGATGGTTTCTTTAAAAATCCAAAATCTGATCTCTAAAAAAATAATGAAAAGAAGAAAGGAATTAGGAGATAGAAAAAAAAAAGGTTTAATAAGCAAAAGCCCTTTGCAATGAAATAGGGTTTGGTGTACAGAAGATCTGTACAGTCTTATTTAATGGTTAAGGTATTTTTTGAATTTTTTTTTTCTCAAGTCAAAATTGTTGAGACAAATAGAAGAGAGAAGAGGAACGCTAAAAACGAGATAACGAGGAGGTTAATTATTTTATATTTAGTTATTGATTTATTTATTATTGTTTTCTAATTATAATAATAAAAATTATATTTTTTGGCCAATAATAATAATAATAGTTTGAGACAGGAAAAAAAAAGTGAAAAATAATAATTTTTTTTAATTTTTATTTTGTTAAGCTTTTCGGCCTGGCTTTGGATTTTTGTGGCCTTTATAACGCAAAATGGGAAAGAAAGGTTCCCTATCTTAAAAGGATTGGGATCTTTCACAATTATATTATATACTGCGACTATTAATAATATCTTTTTTTTATCCACTTAAATATAAAAAAATTAATTAAAATAAAATAATAAAATTAATATTGGCCCGTAATATAATCATAAATTTAATTTTAATTTTTATTATAAATTATTTTATTATTAATGTATTCATGTTATGTTAGTTTAATATTAGATACATATCAAATACAAAAATTATTTATTTTCCAAATCGAAAATTATTAGATTTATAAAATTTATGTATTAGGCTATAAAAAGAAGAAAGCCCAAAAATTTAGAGGCCCAAATAGAAAATAATCATAACCAAATTTTGCGTTTCTTTTTTTTTTTTTAATTTTTTTAATATCTGGGTATATCCCCTCTTCTTCGTCATCTTCGAGTTTCTAGTTATCATTTTGCCCTCGTTCTTCAATCTTCCTTAAAGTTGGCAACGTCTTTTTCTTCTTGGGTTTCTCGTATCCTCCTGCTTCGATTTCAGGTTTCAATTTTCTTTTCCAATATCTAATTATTATTTTCTATAATTTCTATAATTAATTCAGTGGACTTAATTTATAAATTAAGTCGGTTTGGCAATTCCGATTATGCTTTTGAGATTGTTTTTTGTTGTCGAGAACTGGATTTTTTTTGTTCATTTTCTGCTATTAATAGATTTTTCTGCGGTGGTTTAGCCGATAGGATTTTAACTGCAATCCATGTATGGCTATTTGTTTTGATTAGGAAACGAATAATTTGATGGGATTTAATACCTTTGAATCTTAAAAATTTCCATATAATTTAATAATGCAAGCTTTGATTATGTTTTCAGGTTTTGTTCTTATTCAAATTGCCTTTTTGTTATTTGCAAATGCTGACTGCTAGTGTTATTGCCCCCTTGCCGCCTCTATTATCTCCTGGTATGCTTTGAGTCCAGCTATTTTTCTTGGGATTTACTTTTTATTATTCATATTGTTGTGTTTGTTTTATGATGATATTTGTCATGGTTTTCACCAGGAAGTCAATTGAAGTCACGAACTAAGGGCAGTACCTGTGGTGCTACGGTCAGGATTTCTACGCGAATCAAGACAATAGGCCTTAGCTTACAATCACAACCAATTGTTGGAAGAAGTAGAAAGCAATCTTTATCTGTTATATGTGCTGCTGCTGCTTTGGTAAGTTTGTCACTGTTAATAATTGCTTACTTTTCTTCCTTCTTGCTAGTTTATTAAAAATTTGAAATTTTTTTGTGCAGAGAAAAGTATTTTGATTTCCTTTAGTGTGGTTAACATTGAACAAAGAATATTACTGAGAGAATGTTAATTGTCTTTTATCAATATTAATTGAAAACTCTTTATGTATATGTTCATCTACTAGCATAAACAGGATTAAATCCAGAAATAAATGTAGTGAAAAAGGTCTAAACTTGTGTGCACATATGCTTATGTGTTTGTGTTTCATTTTACACATGCTAAATGTAGATGTTTTGTTGATGTTGGTATTCTGAGTTTGTGACCTGATTTCTTTTTCCTGCAGAATGCAACTTGCAGTGCATCGGGCCAAACTCAAACCATTACTCGTGAGGCACCAACAATAACCCAAGCTCCTGTCCATGGTAATAACAAACATAAAAACTTTCAATAGTTTGACAAAATTGGTTAGATATAATCATTTTTGTGTTTTTTCTAGTTGAACCTTTAGCCACCACCCTTAGGTTGAATGGTGGTTAGGAAGGTTATGGAGGGCTAGTTGATTTCATTAGAATAGCTGAAGACATGGTGATAGGCATGCATAATTCTCATACTATTTTGGAAACTTAGCCATCCTGTGTACTTTCTTGCACTGTTATGCTCCTCTGCATTGGTAGGATGATTATTGTTTGTTTTGGCACATGTTAGAATCCAGATGCTGCCTGTTGGCTAGAAGCATTAAACAATGTACCTTTTTTTTTGTTGTATCAAGTTACCGTATCGGCCCTGGTTTTTAGCTAAATCTTATTAGTGTGATAAATGTACTATATTTAATGATGTCCTGGCGTTATCCATGTTTTCACTTTGAGTTCCATGCAATTTTATGTTATTTTTATCTATGTTTTTGGTGTACTATTTTCCTGCTATGGTATATAGGTGATAAATGCCTGAACTTGCGGGAGCTAGGGATAGAACCCTGGCCCTGTGGAACTCCCATGCCTGAGGTGGGATATAACCTGCTTGCTTCAAGTCCGCATATTCCAACTGTTCTTTTTTTTTTAGTTAAACTCCATGTACGTTTATGAGAAAATGTGTCATTTAAATGACTTATTTTGGTTTATTGAAATGCAGACAAGGAGAAATCACCACAACTAGATGATGGTGACTCTGGATTTCCTCCCCGTGATGATGATGGTGGTGGAGGTGGCGGGGGAGGCGGTGGTGGCAACTGGTCTGGTGGATTCTTCCTTTTTGGATTTCTTGCATTTCTAGGCTTCTTAAACGATAAAGAAAGTGATGAAGATTACCAGGAAAATCGAAGAAGATGAGAGAACTATGCAAATTGATATAATATTTTTGGAACCTATTGCATATTGTTCTTGATGCTGTATTCTTTTTGACAACTAGTAACCGTGATTGATCTTAAAATAGAAGCTGATGGTAGCGTAAAAATTGTACCCACTCGTTCTTTCTTTTCTTTTAAGTCTTAATATGGCAGTAGATCTGGCTTTTATATTAGCAGTATACTCATGCTGTCTCTCCATAAATTCCCATGTGCTATTTATCTTTTATCAGAGTTATAATTCTCCTCCATTTCATTTTTTGATATCTTAGTATTAAATCGACACCAACAGAACTGCACTGCTTGTCCCAAATTCCTGGTTCAGTGGGAGGGCTGAACTAGTAATGCTTCGTATCTTTTCTCTGTTTCACTAAACTGATAAATAAATAAAAAAGAATTAAAGTTTACACTAAATTGCTTTATCTTCATAATAATTTTAATTTTACATTAATTATAAAAATAATAAGCTTTAAATTAATTTGATAAAATTTGAACATCATACAAACTTTATACGTTAATGCAAATTTTCTTTAATATGCTCTTTATTAATTTTATTCATTTGTAAAATATATAACTATATATTCAATGGGACGAAAACAAATTATAATCTTCTTCTTTTAGAACAAGCATGAGCGTTAGAGCCGGGCATTGTTGGTCTCCCTAACGTTGGTAAATCAACTTTCTTCAATGCTGTTGTAAGTTTTAATTTCCAACTTTGGGTTTTCTTCCTATTTTTTTTTTGTTGTCTTAGAAAAAATAAGAGAATATTTTATGACTGAATTGTTAACTTTAAATGAAACATATAGGTTGAGAATGGGAAGGCACAGGCTGCTAATTTTCCGTTTTGTACAATAGAACCAAATGTTGGGATTGTTGCGGTTCCAGATCCTTGACTCCTTGTTCTTTCTGAACTCGGCAAGTCTCAAAAGAGCTGTCCCTGCTTCTATTGAGTTTGTTGACATTGCTGGTCTCGTTAAAGGTGCCAGTCAAGGGGAGGTAATACTTCTCATAATATTTGTTTTCATTGTTATTTGGGCTTTTTTTTTTTTCCAAAACAATCAAGTCCATACGGATATGAAAGCAAATAGTATTGTTTTTGAAGCCAACAATGGTAGATTGTTGATAGAGAGTTGGATTATTAGCTCCAGACCAGGATTTAATCCCTGGCAGGCTTGCAATTGGTTCCTTAATTTCTTATCTATGTCATTGTTTTGCAGGGATTAGGAAATAAATTCTTATGGCATATTCGGCAGGTGGACTCCATTCTTCAGGTTCTTCTCTTTCCTTATTCACCACTCACCCATGTTCTTTTCTGCATGTGCACAACCGATTTCTTTTCTCATATGTCTTTAAGTTGGTGACTGCATCATTCAAATGAAGTAGAAAATACAGGATAAACTGCTAAAGACATATATACTAGTTCGAACATCATTTTGCAAACTAAAATTAAATGGCTTTCATTATATATAATCTTTCTAGAGAGTAGCTTAAACTAGCGGTCAAATGCATACTATGCTCTGTGCATCGCTTACAACATTAATTTTCTCTGTATGGTTTATGGTCATCTATAGTTATATTTAATGGGTGCCTTTTTAACACTTAGCTCTGTCTGAATGAGTATATTTTTAATGCTCAGGATACGTAAAACCTTTACACGGACAATTTCCTTCAAATTATCTTAATTGGAACTTCAAACTAGTACTGCCTTTTGTGTTATGTGTTTTTTTTTCTTTTCTTTTTCCTTTCATTGCTTTTTAACTCAGCATCTTTATGAGAAAAAAAAAATTCAAGTAATAAGAAGAAGTCTGTATCTTTTCAAGTATAAATACAGTAGTTTCCCCTTGAAATATGTGAGTTCTATCTTTTTTTGAATGCTTAATTTTTAGGGGTAAAGCAGACAGAGAGGTCTTTTTGATCTCAGGGCAAGGGCTTATGTTAATTGTTGAGTCATTTTTCCAATATTCTAGTTGTTTAAACTTTAAAGTTTAAAGAAACTCGCTATGACTCAAGTTTTTCCTTTATCCTTGTACGGGACAACTACTCATAAAATTGAAAATTAAAGAACCCAGCTAAACATCTCTATCTCTGAACAGTTTTTATTTTTTTAATTGAATCTGAAAGTATTCTTTGGAGACATTCTTGAATTTTATGCATATCATTTACTAATGAAAAGCTTGGTGAAATAATCATTAGCTTTCAATTTTTTGAAATCAAGTGCTGATTTCATTATTATTTCAGGTTGTATGCAGTTTTGAAGACAATGACATTGTTCTTGTGAATGGAAAAGTTGATCCTAAGACAGATATTGATGTTATCAATTTGAAACTAGTTTTCTCAGATTTAGATCAGGTATGTCGTGTGCTCAATGGAGCTTAATTCAGCTTCAGCATCTTTCTTGGAAAGGTGCTGATGCTTATTTAATAGTTTGGAACATGTCATCATGTGAGTGCATCTAAAACATCTCATACTCATATAATGTCCATTCTAACCATGTTGGTCGTGTGGTGCCTAATTTACATGTTAACAGAAATTTTTAAAAGGTTTTAATATTCTCTCTTACACTTGGCTGGTATTGATCCAAAGAGATCTATGCTTGCAAAAGTTGTGCCCCTTTTAGCAACTAAGGGTGGATCTATTTTTTTCCCAATTAATTTATTTGTCTGAGATCCCCTTGTTTAATGGCCTATTCAGCAATGTGAATCAAATTACTACTTCAGGTGTTTTTGGAAGTGAGAATCTATAATCAGGCTTGTGTTTGATTAGCTAGCAGTCTTCTAGATCTGTTAGATTATATCATCTTCAGAGAATTTGAGCAATTTTGGAATTAAAATTGAGCTTGCCTTTCTGTAACTTACAAATTCCAGAACTTTTGTTTTGGTTGACAAAATAAAGTAGCATTCTGAGTTGGTTAGTTAATTATTTACTTGTAGTATCATTTCCATTAAGGGTTCTTTCAAAAGGTTATTACATTAGTCTTGTTAGATTTCTACAAATTATTCGATGCTTTAAGCAGTCATAAAGGACTAGATCTTTTTGGAATTAAATTCTTAGCTAATCGTTAGGTCTTTTCAGTTTTCAGAATCTGAAACTAAAAACTAGAATATTCAATTTTCAAAAGATCTAGTGACATATTAAAGGTTGGAGTAAATTCAATTGTAATATGGATAAAATGCTTGAATAGTTTTTTGTCTGTCAAGAATAAAAGATTTTATATAGTTTAGATCTTGTAATGAACTCAGGGTCAGCATAAAGTAAACTCTATGATAGAATATTTATTCTGTTTATGACTTGTTTGGTCTGGATAGTTTGTCACTGTACAGGGGACATGGTTAAATGTAATTTTTAAAAGAAGCCAAAAGTGTAAAAAGATTTGAACAAGTTTAACACTGTCCAAGAACCCAAATAGTCCAAAATATTTCCATCACAAAACTTTGACCTGATCAAATATAAACCAACTTATCATATCCACTAAGTCTTTCAAATTCTTCTCAAGTGCTACTTAAGAGTCTGTTTAAGGCAACAGGGGATGCTTAAAAGTTTAAAGTAGCTTGGCTTCGTATTTAGTTTCTTAGCAAACAAATGGTCATGTTGATGCAGCTGAGAAAACTGGGAAAAATAGGTAGTTTTTGAGGAGGATATATGATGGAAATAGAGAGGAAACTTAGGTTAAATGCAGGAGAATTCATCTCCTTGGACAGGTAAACTTTGATCCCAAATTGAGGATTAACCTTAAGTTTAGGGTCATACAGAGGTGGGAAATATTGTTTGTATTGCTAATTCAAAAGGTACCAAGAATACTATTGATAGGTTCTCAGGATAGGAACATTGAAGATGCTTCGAGAGTGCAAAGTTTGTTTTCTTCTTAGAAGAATTAAGTTCTGACTAATTTATCATGATTATTAGTAAAATGTTCATTTGAGAATTCTAATAGGTGATAAGTTGTTAAAATGATTCTAGAATTCTACGCAATTTGCAATCCATCAGTTTCCGCCCATTGGGAAAGAACTCAGGTTTTAATGAGTAAAAAGATCATTATATGTAGGGTAGAGTTCTGAACTAAGGTGTCAAAATTTGATGCGCTTATCAAAGTTCTGTAGACTCTCAATTTTGTCTGAAAGCTGTTGCTTGTAGAAGTAAACTTTTCACAATGAACATGATTGGTAAGGCTACTAACAACATTTAAGTAAATTGTACAAATGGAAAGAAGAAGCTGGTTCTAGTTCCAAATAATTTGGGATTCATTGGAGATTTTGGTTGATATGTAATATTACAAAACAGAAAGTTGCATACACGTTTTGCTTACATGTTGTGTTCAATACCTCTAAAGCAGAGTATTGTATTTACTTAATGGGCTGCACCATATGTCAACTATATTTCTCCCATTCAGGAAGATGCATCATAGCACTCTTTGAACATGTTCAAAGCTTGAAAGGTCATTTTTGGAAAGGGATCTAACCAACTCCAATTTTTTTAAATAGAGTTTTGAAATTTGTTACTATACTATGCTCTTTGGTGGTTACTTGGTCTAAAGTTTTAGGAGACTGTATTTCTTTTTGTAATAGATCATCCTATATCGAATAGGTGTGTGATTGTTGAAAGCCATAAGGGGTTTAAGTCATTCTTAACAACTTGAGTTAAGCTTTCAAGGTCAAGTGGATGTGGTTTAGGGCTGAAAAGATGTTGGGTTAGTGGTGCTTGTGCCCACCTGCTGAGGATATTACCATTGGAATCAAAGCATATGCCTATTCAATGTGGTTCACATCGTCACATTGTGTGATTTTGCTCCTATGAGTATCAATTCTGACTGTGATATGTGGTACTGAAATCTGATGAGGACATTAAGGAAAAGGGCAGGGATGGTAAGGAATATATAGGAGTGTGATTGTTGAACTACACATAAGGGTTTAAGCACTCACTTTTAGCAACTTAAGCTTAATCTTGTGAGCTCGTTTGGTGTTAACTTGAAAAGAAATTGGGCCTGAGGTGTTTGGACCAAGATATTACCTTTTTAACATGATATGAAAGCATCTGTTTTATACTTATGAAACCCTTATGCCTTAGCTTTTTGTTTTGAATAATGTGGATCTACACCGGTAAGTGTTGGCATAGCCATTGTATATTGCTTCCTTTAATATGCATGTACACATTCCATGTCAGTGTTCTGTTTTTTAGCATCTGATAACCTTGTCCATGCTTGTGCTTCTTACTATGCAGATATATTTGTTTACACATAGTTATCTATGGTTTCAAATTAATAATTCGCTGGTCATGTGTTATGTTTTAGTCACACACTAACCCTCCAATAAATTTGCTTGAATATTTCTTTCTCGGTTAAGCTTTAAACCTTAAATATATTTTCTTGAATGCTCCCTTATGAACTCCTTCATGGCCTTAGTGCATTCCTGTGGCAGCCTAAACCAAAATAAGCATATGAAAGTAATTGTTTCTTTTGTAAGAAATACAGATTGAGAAAAGATTGGAAAAGCTTAAAAAGGAGAAGGCGAAGGATTCACAATCTACACTTAAGTTGAAATTATTTTTCCCCTTCCGTTTTTACTGAAAGGAGCCTCTTGTCATTGCCTGTCATTCTGTCTATTCTATACTCCAAAGTGGTTTTTGTTGGTCTTAGCATTGACTCTCTTAAAGTTATATTATTTTAGGAGGAAGCAGAAAATTATGCCTTGGAAAGGATTCAGCAGGCACTTATGGATGGAAAACCGGCACAATCAGTTGCATTAATGACTTTGAGAAGGGTGCTGTGAAACATCTTTGCTTGTTGACAATGAAACCAATCATATATGTGGCCAATGAAACCAATCATATATGTGGCCAATGTTGCAGAATCTGATCTCACTGAGCCTGTAAATAATCCCCATGTTAATGAAGCAGTGAATCTTGCATCCTAAGGAATTGTAACAATTTCTGCAAAGGTTTGGTGATACTTTTGAAAAGCATATTCACATGCATCTATAGGAGATTATATATGTGGAATCATTGATCGTGAGTATGAAATATAGGCTTTTTTTCGTTGCCACCTGTTTATAAACAGATGTCTTGTTCTTAATAGGTATCCTATGATAATTTTGTTGCCGTTGGTTCACTAGCAGCAGCAAGGGAAAAAGGACTTGTAAGTTGCTTCATTGCTACTAGCCTATAAGGTCTTTTACATAATAAATTTCTTGAATGGTACATGCTCAATACCTTGCATAAGTTTTACTTATGCAATCAGAAAAGGAAAATTGTTTTGCATTCATTTATTTTTCTTCAAATGGTGAAACTCTTCCTAAGTTCTCCTATTCCCCCTTCCAGCAAAACCTACTTCAAAAATTGGTTTGGAGTGGAGACATTAACCTTGAATTCGAGGGGAAAGTAGGGACATCATTTCCATGTGCCATTGCTCTTTTAGTTTTCTATTGAGTAATATGCTTGTTTTTTTCTAGGTTAAAAACTTAGGCTGTACAAGCTAAGGCCGCAGCCTTAGCATCTAGTCTGTGAAGAATGAGTGCCTAGTTGCAATGAGTAGGTTGCTACACTCCTCCCTTAATCACTGCCTCTTCACTCTGTACTTGTCTCAATTTATATTTTTCCTTTACTCTCACTTCCAATTAATCCATTGTATGCTCAAAATTGTCAACTTCTACCTTCTTTTTTTTCATATTTTCCCTCATTATCCTTTTATTTCCTACATATTGCAGCTGTCTCTTTACAACATTCAGCTATATTATTTCTCTGTATCTGTCTCTCTCTCTCTCTCTGTAATATTTAAACTTTCTGCAGCTGAGATCTGAGGGTAAAGATTACGTAGTACAAGGAGATGTAATACCGCTTCGTTTCAATGTTTGATGACTTTATTTTTGAAGCTGAAGGCATTCCATCACTCCTTTGCCTTCAAAGCACTGAACAAGATATGTATACCTCCCATGTTTTGTATTTTCAGCAGTCTAATATCATGTCCAAAGTCGGGTAAATAGTATAGGATTGAAATTCTTCTTTTACTGGCCCAAAAAAAAAAATTCTTCATTTACCATTACTAAAACAAGAGATATATGCAGATATTCATCTGCTCAAGGACTTGTCTGTTTATAATTCAAAAGTAAACAGAGGGAAAACAAAATCCCCCCCCCCCCCCTTTCACCTCAAGGTTCTGACTTTATTCACCTATGAATATATGCCCCTATATTTTGGGGCATCATTTCCTTTTACTTGTGATCTTGCCCTTAAAGAGAAATTTTAGCGAACTATATCCGGTACTTTGTTGCATTTTACAATACTACTTGGAAGGTAGCATGTTTTTCTTTGTTGCACAAAACATATTTGCTGATCTATCAATATAATGGCTAAAGGCCTAAGGATCTGGATGGAGCTGAACTTCATGTCATTTTATTTTCTTCATATTTCATCTTCTCCTATTTGAATCGAGGGAACAAAAGGTGAGTGAACATGACTTCATGCCCTTATCTTTGCACCCCATAATTGTTCCTAAGTTTCAGCAACCAGGGCAAACAGTATGAAAACAAGAGTTTACTTGTATCATTCTTGAATTAAATCAATGAAGATCATCATTTCATACTTAATGAAGTGGTAAAATAGATTAGATGTCCTTGTCTCCAACAGATAGTCCTAAGGTTAATGGAAATGTCTTATTCTTGGCCTTGTTTTAAAACTTTGATTGATGTAATAGATCAATGCTTTTGCTTCTAAGCAAGTGAAAGTGAGAATTCCTAGTTGTTTTCACTTTGAAGCTAAGGTGGAAGTTCCTGTCTCCTACATCCTGGACCCGGGTCATATTGCAACTTGTTTGTTTTTTCTGTCTTAGGAAATCATGATACTTCGCTGTCGACGACCTGAAATTCAATAATGTGGTGTGGGATGAAAGATTCGGTCTTTGAACCATCAATTGCTTTCCCAAATTTCCTTGTCAAGAAAGAGATTTAGTAGTTGCATATCTGCTTCGCTTTCCCCGTCCATGTCTTGAATCAATTCTATGCATTTTTAGTTGTTTACATAGCGGGCCAATTTGTAGAATTGTCCTCATCATTCATTTGAGGGAAAAAAAAATGTCTTATTTTGTTGTTACATGCTTTTTCTTTTATCATCTTTAAGTAGATTTGTTCATGAGTTGAATTGTACCAAATTTAATTGATCTTTTAAATGATTTATTTCAGGTTTGATTCAGACCAACCAAATAAATTTAGAGTCTCAAAATTTTTTTTAAATGATAGTATGGTAATAGGCAAACAGAAAATAATTCAAGAGATGGATGATTGAATTCCTAACATGCAACTTCCTAAATCGACAAGGAATGGGTTACTTCACACTACAGCTAGTCTAATTGTATTATATATATTGATGGAACCAAACAGGGTTTGGGCCCCCATATTCGAGAAATGGTGTTAACAATATTGCTAGACAAAAAATTTTTATGTCCAGACGAAATTTGCCTTTGGTTTTTCTATGTTCTAAATTTTTATTGTAAAGAAAAGATTCAAACCTAATTTGTTTAAGCATGAAATATATGCATTTATCATTTGAAAATTTTATACATATATATTTGTTTTCTTCCAATTAGGTTTCAAAAATTTGTATTCTCGTGTCTCCAAGTGTATCCCCAAATCTATGATTTAATGGTTAAAGTCACTTAAAAAGATATTAAAAGTTTGATTTCGAATTTTTTTTTTTTTACTTTTTCTTATACTAAAGTTTTGCCTTTTTAATGTAACCAAAAAAAAAATTTGTATCTTTGTTTAAATAGTGAAATTAATCTTATAGGTCTTTGTAATTGTACTAAAAAATAAAGTTAATGTCATTTTTTTCATATATATTTTATGAAAAATTTTAATATAATATTTTTATTTTTTAAAATGTATAATGTGATATACAGTGACGGATTTAGAATTTTAAATTAAGAGGAATCAAATTAATAAAAATTGAAGATTTAAATTTTTTATCTTAAAATTTTTATTTTTGAAATTACAACTATAAATATTATATACGTATTTGAGGGATTGAGAAATGTTGGAGGAGCCATGGCCCCTCAAGTTCTAACGTGGCTCCGCCACTGGTGATTTATATATTATTCTTTCGTGTATTGTTAGACAAGGTGGATGACATGGCTTTCGATCAATTACATAATGACACTAGCATAATAATTAATTACTAGATCATCCATAGAAATTCTTTCAATTATATGGTGGTACATGTCAAGTGTCATAATTTTTTTCAATTAAATAATGTCGTAATTAGCAATGTGGCTTCTGGAAAAAGTAACCAAAAAAACCCAAGTCACTTGTGTAACATAATTAATTGATATTCTCTTCTTTCATGATTTGAATTAGTTGAAAACTTGGATGTTGGTCACAGTTAGGTCAAAATGACTCATCAAACTTCTGCTGTTGCAACCTAATTTTCTATTAAATTCTTCTTCTTTTTTTTTACCAACTCTAATTAGTATTTTAATTGTTTGGTAATGTTTATAACTAATTAATATGTTCATTCCCTTTAATTCATTAATTTTAGGATAAGGGTACTCTATAAATATGCATCCAAAAGTGGAAAAAGCAAAAATCAGTTTGATACCGTTACCAACAAATATAATCAACAATTGAAATCCATTTGCATTTCTGTTTGGAAAGTTAGCATACCATCAATGAAAAAGGTTGAATATAATATCTTACCAGAAAATTGAACTACTTGAGAGCTTCTATGAGGCTCTAATGCCAAAGTACTCCATTGAAAGTGGATACAATCTCTCTCTCTTCAAATAGTTAGTTTTTTAATCACATTAATTAGTTTGGTTGGGAAGGATTGAAAAAAAAAATTTCAATTAGATTTTGATTTTTGTGAGATTATTTCGAGAATAAAATTTTGAATACACTAAATTAAAATGTAAAATATATATATATTTTTTAAGTTCGATTGAGGAAATTACATTCGGATAAAAATTGGAGGAACAATCCATGACCTTCTTAAAAAAAAAATTGAAAATTTCTTTTAATAATATAGTTTTCTATTGGCCAATTTTCTTGTAATAGTTAAATGGTGGAGTGTATGGGACATGATGATTTTTAGGCTTTTAATTCTTCCTATTATAAAGTTATGTTGGAGTTAAGACTCCAATTTAAAAGTCTCATACTTGAATTATGAGATGAAAATTGAAGAGTTTACAAGATAAAAAAAAAAAAAAAAATGGCCTTGGCCATTTTTTTTCCTTGTCGACGATAAGTCTTTCATAACAGTTTGAGTTATTGGGATAATCGATCATCCGACGTAGCTAATATTTGGCAGAAGACAACACCAATAAGGATTGCATAAATAAATTTTTTAGCTGATAGAAACCACACACGAGATGTATTTGTGGATGAGAATGATTTCCGGGGTTTCCACTAAATTTAGCTACAATACAAGACATTTGGTATTGTATTGTCACACAATTGCTTTTCTTTACAACTTACTTGGCAGTGACTTTGGAATGGAGACTGATGATATAGCTTTTGTTCATAAGTGATCTCATGCAAGCAACTGATCATGGCTTGTTCTCATCTTCCAATTTAGTCTCACTATGTTACTGATCTTTAGACTACACATCAATGACAGGAGCAATTGTATGGTGTTTCCAAATTCAATTGACTATGACTTGAGCGTCGAGGAGTCCAACCTCCGACATTTTCTTAATCGTTCCTTCTGTTATAGATCACTTTAGCTTTAATAAATTATATGTGTTAGAGATTTTTAAAATAAAATATAAAAAATAATCTCATTTAAAAAATAATAATAATAAAGATAGATAATTAAATCTATTCAAAATAGATAAATAAGTTTATTCAAAATGAATAGTTTTAATTAATTAAAAATAAACAGTTTTTGTCTATTAAAAATAGACAATCATGTCAATAAAAAATAATACTTATTTATTTATAAAAAACTCTTCTAGTTTTCTGAAAATACACAGAAACAATTATTGAAATTCTCTCTTTCTTCAAACTTCAGATTTCTTGTATAAAAATTTTGCTACAGAAAATCTTTATAAAAGTTCAATGATCTTATGATACGCCGGTGATTGTTTAAGTGGACTAATTTTGCTAATGCAAAATGCAGTTAGTCATTGAGTTTCATTATATCCTTAAGTTTATTGCTTGCAACCCTTTTATTCATCTATTAAGTAAATAATACAATGACGGCAAATAAAATCTTAAAGAAAGCGGCACCGTTATATGCCTTGAAGTCTTTCTTCAAAATTTCATATTTACCAGAAGTAATAATTTTAGATTTTCAGTGTTTGCACCAACAATTTGAACCATCAATAGATGTTCTTTTAGTTTAACTTGAAATTATTAATTTATTTTATCTATTTAAATTACGTTAGATTTGAAAAATTATGATATTTTTGTTTCGATATACATAATGGTAATAATTACAATAGTGATCCCACGGTTAAAACGTACCTGAAAACTTCAAATGTAGTTATTAAGTTTGATGAATAATTGCTTTGGAGAAAAAAAAAAGAAATAGTTTGATAAGAAAATTAAAAGGTTAATACCAATGAATGACTTAGGCAAAGATTAAAAGGTATATATATTTTTGAAGAAATTTAAAAAGTTTGTAATTTAATACTCTTTAGTGATGGTTTTCTGAATTTTGGATGATAATATTGTGTTCTTAATTGTTTGTTTATGTTTTAATACTATTATCTAATGTTAATATGAGCTTTTGTCATCTCACCCTTCTTTTCTTTTCTTTTCCTTTTTCTCTTTAAAATAAAAATAAAATAAAATAAAACCCAAGAGATGATTCACCTTTTAGGTACGAATCATGTGAGTTTCGAAGGATTGAATTTGGTTTAAAATTGAATTTCCTTTGTTTCGGTTGTGTTTTTAATTGGTAATCTTCATCTTTTAAAAATTTTAAACATTTTTTTCACCCAAAATTTACCTAATATTCTTTAAATTATTCGAGAACAAAATTAAAATCAAACAATATATGGAACTAAACTTTGATCCTATTACTTAAAAAATATATATTTTAAAAATAAAACATTCAAGAAACAGACGTGTGTGTATGTATATATATATATATATATATATATATATATATATATATACACTAGTTTTTGGCATATGCATTATACTCGTGTAATTCTTATTTTTGAAAATTTTTTTACAAAAATAATTTTTTATGCTATGATAATAATGAGAAACACTAATAATTTAATTTTGATGTTGATATAATATTAGTAAAATTTGATAACTTTTGATATAATTTTGATTTAGATAATTTTTTATAAAATTTTAATAACTTTTGATATAATTTTGATAATTTATAATATAATTTTGATAACTATTGATATAATTTTAATAATTTTTTATAAAATTTTAGTAACCTCTTTATATAAATTTAGTAATCTTTTGATAACTTATATTATATTTTTTGTAATTATTGATAAATTTTATATCATCATATATTTAATAATAGATTTTTATAAGAAGTCGCAGGTTCAATTCTAGTATAAAATAAATTTTTTTATACAATAACATTATTATTTTATAAAAATTTATAATTTTTCACTAATTTTTTTATTAAATATATTTATGGTAAGTTTATCCTAATTCCTACAATAAAAGTTTTAACTTCATTTCTACTATTACCCAAGGTTTAATCCCTAGCAACTTTAAGTACAATAAAAGTTATTAATAATTGATAATTAAGTTATCAATTATTTATTACTAAGTTATCAATGATGTACTATTAATTTATAAATGATTTGCTACTAATTTATGAAAGATTTATCTTTAAATTATGAATGATTTACCAATGTTGATGATTTTCATTAAGTTATTGATGATTATTATAAAATTATAACTAATTTAAGACTAATTTGCTGATAATTTACTAAATAAATATGAATGATTAATTCATTTATTACTAAATTATCATTAATTTACAACTAAGTTATTAATAATTTATTATTACGTTATTAGTGATTTACTACTAAATTATCACTTATTTATAACTAAGTTATTAATAATTTACTATTACGTTATTAGTTGTTTATTATTAAGTTATCAATTTATTACTAAATTATCAATGATTTACTATTATAGTTTTATGTATTTATTAGTATGTTACCATTGATTTATTATTTAATTTTTAACTATTTATCACAAAATTAATATTGATTTATCACTAAATTATTTATGATTTACTACAGAGTTATTACTATTTTATATTAAATTTTGAATGATTTACTATTAAGTTATTATTGATTAACTATTATGTTATTAATGATTTACTACTAAGTTATACTGATTTAATTTTAAGTTTTCAATTAATAACTACTATCAATTAATTACTATTAAACTAAATTTGATTTACTATTAAATTATCACTAATTTATTATTAAGTTATTATTAATTTATTATTAGGTTGTTAATAATTAACAATGAAGTTATCACTTATTTTTTGTTAAGTTATTATTGATTTAGTACTAATCTGTTATGTATTTATAATTATATTACAATTGATTTACTATTAAAGTATTATGTATTTATTATTGTACTAATATTGATTCATTAAAAAGCTATCAACTATTAACTATTAAATTATC